TGAAACAAATTCTTTTTTATTCATAGACACCAAGCAACGAGCTGAATCTGAGGATTTTGGATTGTTTCACCCCTAGTCCCATGAAACTCAACTAAGATTGCTAAAGAAAAGGGTATGTGCACACATACCACACAATTCTTATGTATTTACATATGTAACATCTAAACATTCATATTTACATGCATGCCACTGAAGTCTTTAATCTCACAGCAAAACGACCACCATCAATATATTTTAAAAGGGAAATACACCTAGTTTTATGCAAGTATCTTGTACCTTATATATTGTGCATGAGCTAAGCTCGTTATGGAGATTTATATCAAAAAGATGTGTAAGCTTTTTGTGCCTTCCCATGACCAATAATAATCTAGGCTCTATTCAAGTCATTGGACAAACATATCCGATGAAGCTTAATGTTGACTCGAATGAAAATATTGACACTTCTCACTACTGTCTTTTGTTTACTCTGGTTTAGAGTGGTTTTTTGCGCTCCACAAAGTCATCTAAGCTTGTTTGCTTTCACCATGGGCTAGGGTTAGGGCTGTCAAAAGAACTCGTTGTTCACGAACAGCGGCTTGTTTGCTTTCGCCATGGGCTAGGGTTAGGGCTAGGGCTGTCAAAAGAACTCGTTGTTCACGAACAGCTCATGTTCAACTCCTTGAGTAGCACATGTTTGATTAGTTAGTTAAGCAAGCGAGTTTAACATAAATAATTTTTTTCAGCTTGATTTGCAAATGAGTCGCACAAGAACAAAATTTTGTTCCATTATAGTTGGCTTGTTTTGGCTCAAATTAATTACATAATTAAATAAATAATGTTATTATAATATCCTATTTTGATTTTTTATGTATTATTTAAAATAATATAAATTTTTATTATTTTTTTAATTCATTCAAAATAATTTCGAGCTAAACACAAACATGCTATTTACAAACCTATTTCAAACAACAACAAAAATTAACAAGCCAAACGCAAACAAATATTGGGCTCGCTCAAACTTAACTCATTTACACCCCTGGTAGGATATGTAGAGAAAGCAGGCACTCATGGTGAGTCTGAACATCTATGGCTACTAGGGGTCCGTTTGGGCGGCGATGCAGTGGCGTTACGGCACCGCACCACAGTAAGTATCAAGTTTAAGATGATTGAAATGTCAATATTGCTCAATGAACCTGATTTCATCCAAACGGTGGAATCGGTTTAATAGGTCCAATAGAGCTAGGTAGATTACCCAACCAAGAGTCTAACCTAAGAACAGCGCTACATTAGAGTTCATCCACACTGCTGGCCATAGGTGAGGAGAGAGGGCAGTACTCATTCTTTTACTTTCAAAAAAAGGAAAAAAAAAGGACAACAATGAGCATAATTATAATAAGAAATAGCATAATCTTTTACAATAAATATTAAATATATGTAACAATATTGAAATGAAAACATCTTTAAATATAATAATTCCTGCGACATTCTTTTAAAACTAAGCCTCGAGCTATCTTATGGTAAATGAACTGTTAACAGAAATTCTTCAAGCACTTTGGTATCACGTAAATACATTAATTTTATGGCTGAAGCGTTTCCAGCCATCATATATCATTGAAGTATTTTCCTCTTCTCCCTTGCAAGCAACTGACTTTCAAATAAATCACAACTTGGTTTCCAATCATAACAAAGAACTATTTTTGCTAATGTTTCTAAGTGTTATTTTTAAGCACTTTGCCAATGTTGCCAAGTAAACGAATTTGAGGTGTTTTAACTTAAATCAGAAAATAAGAAAAAAAAAACTTTCTTATAATTAAAACACTCTCATCTCAAATAATACAAATGTTTTCTCCAAGCATGTGCTCCATATTAAAGTTGAGGTTGAACCATTCATTCCGTCAATATTGTAGAAAAAAGGTAAGAAAACAGGAGGTGGAGGCAGAATGGGAGGACGACAATAAAGTTTTGAATCACCGAAATAGAAAAACTGGTCGGAGATTGCCAAAAGTGGGAGCATGAAGAAGGGTAATTTCTGAATAAAAAATACATATATATATATATATATATATATAGATAGATAGATAGTGAAATTTAGACACATAACAAACAATTCTTATGTGTTTACACATTCAACATTTAAACTTTCATATCTATATATAGCACTTTGGTGCCATCAAACTAAGCATGAAAAGGTGTATTTCACGTTTAACAAGTAGGTGATAGTGATATCTTTTATGTGAAATTAAAGATTTGAATGTTATGTATGTAAATATTAAGAGTCTAGATGTTAGATATGTAAATATATAAGAATGATATGTTATGTATGTAAATGCCACTATATATTTAAAAAAAATAAAAAAAATCGGTATTTGGCAGAGGCCCAAATACCGATTCCTTATGCGCTATGTCCTATGGTGAGAAGCCCGCGCCATGTGCTATTATTCGAGGATCACCGCGCCACGGGAATTCGAACCCTTGACCTAAGGAGACTTACAGTAACCCCGCCAACCAACAGACCAAGCTTACGTATGTAAATGCCACAATATATATATATAT